TACAGGGAGCCTGAACCAAGACCTCCCAGAATGGAGCCGCTCTTGCAGTGTAGTCTGGGTCCCATGCAGTCTCTGGTTATTTTTCCAAGGTGCCACGGACTGCTTGCCATTTCGCTGCAGCCATGTGCTTGGTGTTCTAGTTTATACATCAGCCCTGCCAGGATCGGCTAGTAACTGCTTTGTTCTCCTGTTGTGTGTGGTATGTTTGTCTTTTTTTTTTTTTTTTCTTTCTTTCTCTCCTCCCCTCCCCTCCCCTTTTCTGTCATGTAGAGTTAACTGATTGAATTACAGTGTACGCTTGGGGCTGTTTGGAATAGGTAGCAGAAGGTCAAATATCAGCTAAGGTCTTGAAGAACCAAAAATATAAATTGACCAACCAAGTTGTACAAGAATACAGTACCTAAAACCTAGAGATGAGTCAAGAAATCCTGCTTTCCTGGTTAGCTTTGGGGGGGGGGAGTTCAGCAAGGGCAGAGGAATAGTGGTAGATAGGGATGTTCTACAGTAGACCAGCTAGATGGAAGCAAATGTGTATTCTGGAAAATGAAGTCAGGAAACCTGGCAGGCATTACATGTTCAGAGGGGCAGGAGGGAGAATAATATGAGGTTGGGAAGTGTTCTGTATGATAGAGGAGGTATAACAAAGGGTATTTTAGAAGATCGAATGAGTTCCACTTTACCATACAACTTTAAAATTCTTGCCAGATGACTTGGCCTCATTGAACCATAATACACTGACTTTATGGAAAAATACAGTGTTAAAAGTAGTAACATTGTTTAAACAGCTCTGAATATTTAAAAAGGTTGTGATACAAACAATCATTTAAGATATTTATGTAAACATTTTCTACTTTAAAATCAAAATGTACTTGTATTCTGACAAAAAATGGTTTTAACTTCCTAATTTTGTCACTTAGGCATTTACAATTTTCTTAATGAGTGTATAGTGTAGGAAATGCTTTTAGAAAATTCCTTTTACTGTTTTGAGATGCCAGGTCTCAGTTGCTTGCTCTTCTACCATTTTGAAAGGTTCTCCTTTACCTTTCTTTATTCTAGTCATATGCAGTATATGCCAAATAATTTCAACTTTACTTTCACTTAAAATGCTTGCTTAAGAATTGAGACTAAACGGTTCAGGTATTAGACGCTAACTCTGTCTTTAGGCTACAGATTATTCAGCAGTCACTGTAATTCTAATGGAATGTTATGTACTGCTTTCACCTATCGTATTTAAATACGTAAAAATAATTTAAATATAATTCGAGTCTTCTGTCCAAACTATTTCAGTTCAATAATACTTCACTGGCTTTAAGACAGGGAACACTAGAGTATTACAGCTGTAGCACCAGAGATTTTTCAGTCCTCAAAACAATTTTTTTCCCTTCAACTTTTATTCTGTGTTTAAGCCAAGGTAGCTATGTTGACATTAGCAAGTAACATTGACATTAGTGCTACAGGGGCAGATCAGTAGATCAAAACAGTTCCCTCTGAGGACCCTGTATCTTCGCTGCATTGTGATTCAGATGCTTTGTTTTGGACCATACTTCTGTCCCTTGGACAAAATGCCCACACTATGCGTGTAGTTCAGAAGTGTGTGAAACGTCTGTTGTTGGACTTCTGTGGACCCAGCTTCTTTAGGAGCTGCAGCATGTTTGGTGCACTTCTGCATCAGAGCTCCCCGTTCAGTTTTCTTCAAAAAGAAGTTTGCGAATATTAGGACTGTTCTGTAAACCAAGCCAGTATGTGGTAAGTGGGAGCAATCAAAGAGTGTGCCTCAAAACCACACTACTGTTTCAAACCAAAATATTAGTGTAAATGCAGCCATAATATGGGGTTTGCTACTTGGAAATGCTCTTCCACAGAGTGAATGTATGTACGCACAAACTGTGCAACTGCTGTGTACACAAACGTAAAATTATCTTTTGTTTATACATCTATTCTGAAGCTGTATGGTTTTTTCTTGCTATAGAATTTTCCAGATTCTTTTGATTGCTGTTGAATTTTCAGTTCCTGTTCACTGTTACCAGTATTGTTTGCATATAACGTTAAGAGTAGAAAGAGTAGTTTCATTCCTAATACTATATAGAAGGCTGTTCTTTTTCAGCTACTGCCTTACAAACACAGTGATTTCTTTGAATCCTGTATGATTTTTGGGAGACTTAGTGTGTCCTTGTTGCTGTTTTGCTTTTTTTTTATCTGCAGTCCTCAGCAGAGAGGAAATATTTTTTTGGAGAACTGTTGTATCTAAATTAAGTGTTATATTCGATGGTCTTTCAGATCACTGTTCTCTGTGGATAACTATTTTTTTAATGGTGGTTGTTTTGCAAAAACTTACTCAATTTTATGTTACACTCTTCTATTGGTGTAAATGACTGGTGGGAAGGTGCTGGTGTGCTGATGAGAGGCAGCTTTTCTTTCTGCATCAGAAAGGAATTTTTTTATAGACTTCTTCCCTTCCCTCCCTCCCTTCCCTCAAGTACTTCACCAAAAATGAGCGGGAAATGAGCCTAGGCTTGGACAAAGCTGGGATTTTGATGACTAGAAGGTGAGGGAGATTATGATGGAAACACTTATAAGCGTGTACTAATGAAGCATCAACAATCCCTTTGTTTAAACCCATTTTTTCCATACCTGTGTTCAAAATTGTTTGCTCAATCTGCAACTGTACCTCGCCCACATGTGTGCTTGTTGAAAAGTTGTGGCTAAAGCACATGTATGCATACTCTTTCATAAAGACTTGACTGCTTTTCATATGAAAACATTTCTAAATATTTACTAGAATTTTTAAGGCTCTGTATAGCTGAAGTCTGATTACATGAGGTCCACCTTTTCTTAATGCTTCTCTACAAAAGGTGAAGTAATTAGGAACAGTTATGGCATGGCCAGTTATGAGAGCTGCAAGTGGTCCCGAGTGGTGGTGGCTTCTGTGTTGGAATTTAGTCTTGGATAGTCCATCAGATGTTGTCCTTTTTCCCCCTTTCTAGGAGTTTTGAGAGGGAGGAGAAGATAAGATTAGAGTTTTGGAGAATGTTCTTTATTGTTCTTGATAATAGGAAATTCAAAAAAGCTTAATAAATGCAAAAACCTTCTGCCTGGCGGAAGCAGAAAATAGAGGCTGCAACTGGGTAAGGAGGCTGAACTCTCTTGAGTTAATTCCTTATTAGGATTGAAAGAGATTGCTAAGTCTACCTACTCAGTAACTGATAAAATTTCACCTTTCGAGAATCTGTGTCATATTTTATCCCTGCTCAAAATAGTCTCTGTTTTGAAGTAGGGTATGGAATATTCCTGGATTAGCTTCTTTAAGTGAAAGTAAAACTTGAAAACAGATTTCTGAATGTTTGGAGACTGTAGCACCTGCACTAGAGCAACTGCAACTATTTTCTGTAGAATTCAGCTATCTTTTAGCATAGCAGATCGTATTAATTGTTTTAAATTCCTGGATCAGTAAAGTATCATGTTTAGACACTCAGCTTGAAAATACATCCTAAAAGCCTAATAGGAAATCAATTATTCCTCTATTTGTCTGTTGTTTCAGGATAACTGCAATGCGCTGGGCTCTTACTTGTCTAGACACTTTTTTTTAGCCATTTGGCACCACTCTGTGTCTGAACTATTCCCTGAAGAGATTTGAAACTTGGTTTAAAACTACCTCAGGCTAACCCAGTATAAACTAGGCTTAGGCAACCAGTCCAAAGAACAGCAAAATTTTGTGTTTTAAGAGTTTTAGAACAGTCTTTTGCTTAGCCAACATTAAAAATGGTTTTACCCAGAAGTGATTTCAAACCATTTTTAAAACTGTTGAAGAAATAAGCTAAAATGCTTTTTAACAAATGAGGTATTTGGTGGTATTATCTCTCACTTCTCTTACCTGCGTGTCACTGTTAAGAGGCTATTTTCGGTTTTAGATTTAAAAACAAAAATTGGGAGACTTACTAGCTCCTAATTTAACCTCTTATATAGAATGTATATGTGAAAGTAGTTCTTCCATTTTTTCATTCAGAAAAATTTTGAATGGATGAGAAATGATTTTAAGCTTTTTACCAAATCTAAATCTGTAAAACGAAAATTGAGTTCTCTTATTGCAAGGGTGGGGGAAGTTGCTGTTCCTATGACAAATGAGGAGAAATATTAGAAACTACTTTTCAGGATTGTTGACTATTGGAATACAAAAATATGAGCAGTAATATGACTAGACTGTTTTGTATTTCTGTAGGTACAGGTAGCATTTGAAGTATACAGTTCAGTCTTTCTGTAGAGCATTCTAATTTTTTCTGGTCACTTTAGAGCACTGCATGTGGCTTTATTGAGATAATACAAGGTTTAAACAATAATTGTTTTGCATATGAAGTTTGTATGCGATGTCTTAGATACAGTAAAATTTTTATTTTTACTTGCATAATTCAGTACTGTTCCAAATTTCCTTTTTTATCAGCATATGCTTTTATTCTGAATAGTGACTGTAAAAATACTACTTCACAGATTAACTTTTTCAGTGAATGTAGATTTCTGGCTACTCATCTAACTTTTAGATTTAAGTGAATATAAATTTCTAGCTGCTAATTTCTTTCTCTGACTCCTGTTAATAGTGCAGAGCCAATTTGACAATATAAGGTTCTGAATTACCTTCTTGTATATCATCAACAGAAGTTTCAAAATAGTTATATCTGCATCAGCATCGAAGAGGCTGTGCAGATAGGGGTTATCACTCATGTTGTATTTTGGAAAACTGCACATGTCATACAAAGGGAACAATTTAACCTTCAAGGTATTCATTTTTGGTGATGAAATGCAAGAGTTAATACTAAGTGACTGTTAAATACAAACTTTTACATTTTTCTTACCTGTTAGAAATTAATTCGGCCCATCTTGCTATGAAAATTTGTGAGAAATATTAAAAGGAAAATTTACAATACCAGTTTGAGTATCACTTTGCAGTATACAATTATGTATTGCTTTATTTTACCTGCTATAAAAAAAACTTGTTTTGTTTTTTACAGCAAACAAGAACATGACTCTTCAGAGGAAACGAAAGAATGCGACAGAAATCAAATCAACCAAGTTGCATCAGTTGAAAAGAGTGAAGAAAGTTCATCATCGAATACAGAAAACGCTCCCAATTTGGAACTCGACAGCAATGGCAACAGCTCTAGGAATGCCTTGGATGAGAAAGGAGCATGTTGTGATTCAGATAATAACAAACAATTAATAGAAGAGAAACAAAAATGTATTCATGATGAAAGTGAGTTGAAAACTTGCCAAAGTTCAGATAATGTTGTCTTGAATGACCAGACTAAAGTACGTAGCTTGGATGAGACTGCATTATCATCACTGAAAGCAAGGGACTTGAAACTAACGTTGGGTGAAGATGTTAGTTTTGAGCAGTTCTTGAGAAAAAGAGATGAACCTGAATCTGTTAGTTCAGATATTAGTGAGCAAGGCAGTATTCATTTGGAGCCTTTGACTCCATCAGAGGTACTAGAGCATGAAGCTACTGAAATTCTACAGAAAGGTAAGGTTGCACCATCATCAAAAAAAGCTGGACTACTCTCAGAACAAACAGATGAGACTTCTAAAGAAAGCAGTCCCAGCAGAATGGAAACGGCTGTAAACAAGACAGATGAAAATGAAGCAAGCTGAAACTGTGTTATTTTTTTATTCAGTTTATTATAGATAATGGTAAGAACACCATAGGCCATTCCTGGTGAGTGTGCTCATTGATGCTAATTATTCAAAAAAAGACGCAGGGAAATTTTGTGTATGAAGATAGTGTATATGTGTATGTACAACTGAATTGACTAAATTTACAAGGAGTAACACGTTAAATTTATCTTCCAGTCTCTTGGATGTGATATATCTTACTCAACTGGCACTTGAAAGGAGGATTAAATTCTCATTTTCATAGTTAACTAGCCAGGAATAAGGTGATTTGTAAGTCAAGAAGAGATTTCTAAAAATCCTTCCATGAGTATCAGTAAACAGCAAAATTTAGCATGGATTCGGTTCTGATGCTGAAATTGAGCACACTTGTAACAATGGTTATTGGTCTACTGTTAATTTGGATAAGCATAAAATTTATTTGGATTTGGTGTCACATTCCTGTCTGTAAAAGCATGTAAACAGAATTATATGAACCTATGCACCTTTGTACAGGTGTAATCCTGCCAGGCTGTAAGCTTACCTTAATAAACTTTCAGTGAAAGTGGAATTATTACAATAAAAGTATATATTTGTGGGGTTTTCCGTGTGCAAGCAGGGCAGAAATACCAGACATAGTTGTATAAAATAGGACATACTGCTGAAAGTACTGTAGCTGTTAGACTTTTACCATTGTTTTAATTATTCTTAGTGGTAGACCCTTGAGAATGGTCAGTAAGTCAAGCCAAAGTATGGTTTAATGTAAAAACTGTTTTAAACAAAAAGGAGGGGGAAAAAAACCACCCACCAAACTGGAAACACCAACTGGCATGCACTCTCTCATTTTGCAGCTGCTACTTGCTAACTGTTACAAAAATCACACAAGGGCATACAAAGTAGAATTGTACAGTTGAATTTCAGGACTTTTTGTAGTCTAAATTATGTACAGAAAGATGGCTGCTGGATTTTTGGGGGTTTTTTGCTTTATAGTTAGCAGCTAGATATATAGAAATGCTTATGATTAACAGTAGCTTGCTCTTATGACTTTGCTGCTCCATTTGAAACATCAGAATGTGCTTTTGACTTAGTTTTGTTTTTAATGAATGTTAAATGTTTTGAACAGCTGTTAAAGCACTGCTGTAAATTATCACTTTTTGAGTAAATATTTGCAACAAAATTTTGTCTTTGTGAATAATTTTATTGCTCAACTTGTAACTTTGGGAATGGTCTTCCCAACTTTTTGAAAAGATTTAGTAGCAGTTTCCAAAAACTGTTTTATTTTAATATGAGAATATGTGAATATGAGACTTCTGTGCTTTTAGAATTAAATGAGCAAGTGCCTATGCACAACATATTTTTGTAGCTATATGTTGTGATAAGATGTGCTAACTTTTTTTAGATTATGAAGATATTTTTCTGGGCCATCAGCAAGCAACTGAAGTCTGCTCTGTCCTCCTAGGTCAGCCAGGCTTAGCTGCTAAGTGAGTCTAATAAAGAACAGCATTACGAGGTTTAGAGACCATCCAGCTCATTGTTGGAGCCTCTAAATGACCATATGAATCTCAGCATCTCAAAAGTTGTGCTTCAGATTCTGAAGAATTATATATGACTGAAAAATCAAAAGATTTGAAAGTAATAAATGTTAAGTTCCTTTTATGTCTCTTCTATTTTTGAGCCTATGAATTGCATCTTTATTTTCAGCCATACAGGGTTATTAGAAGCCTTTTAATAAGAAGAATGAAAATATTTGCATAATCATACCTCAGGTTAATGATTTCATTACAATTTCTAAAGAACAAGATATACAAAAGAAATTACAATTTATTGCTCTCAATTTTATCGTTTGTGTTGTTTGAAGTTCTTAAAGTGGCAGATCTTGGAGAGCTATAATTAGCAGGTAAACTCAGACTGAAAAACCTCTGTATTTGGGAATAATATATATGTATTCTCGGGTATTTAATATGTAAAGCATTGCATATTTAGCTTATTGCAACTCATGTAGAGAATCCTTATACAAAAGGTAATGTTGGGTGTAAAAAGCCCAAATAGCTAACGTCTGCAATAGCAGCCCTTTCAAGGAAGGAGGTAAAAGAGAGCTGGTGAGTAAAATGTGTCATGAAAACAATGCTATGTTATTTTTATGAAGCAGAAAATATTCCATGAGTTTTTTAAAAATTCATTTGCTCTCTAAACACTAGGTGATTGTGTAATTAGGAAGAAAATCTCTATCATGGATTTAGGAAGTTTCCTAGAGAAGAGTTAAATTGGCTTTTTTGGCTGAAGGCACTGCAGAAGATCATGTTATGTTGAATGTAATTTGAAACTTTCCTCTGGGAGGAGGAAGGAATTGAGGTTTTTGTTCATTTCTGAGTCGTGTAGATTTTTTCCATCCAGTCCTCAGTAGTTCTTTTTCTGTGCTACCTCTCTTTTTGTTCTTAGGAAAGCATTTTCCCTAAAATTTTCATTGCATTACCAAAAACAGTAACTTAAAGTTAATTCTTGGTATCCATATTGGAATCGCTGTTCCCCTTCATCTCAAAACATTTACTGTATTTGCTTGAATAATGATTTTGGGTTGTTTATGTAACTTCTGTTTATAAGGAAATAGCACATGCCTAATGTTATCTCCATTATTTGCATTTAATGGAAAATTGTTGTAATGAATAACTTATGGCCAGGCAGTATACTGTCACTTGGCCATTCCTCAAGTACAGCAAACTTCTCAGTTTGCCTTGTGCAGTTTAGGAAAGAAACTTTGGAAAAGAAACTACTGAAGATTCATGTTTTCCTTGGTAGAATGGAAAAATAAAAGGGGGGGGAGGGGGGGGAACAGATTGAATCATAGCAAATACCGAGTTCTAATTGTAAGGTGATGTATTATAAAGATTGCCTTTTTAACCAAAACCTAGAGCAAGCAGAACAATAATAAATAAGTCCATGTTTTTGTTTTTCCCTTACTGGAAATGGAGATAAAAGAGATCCGTGGACGTTAAGTCATGTTCCTTCATGCTTTACTGAGAGAAGGCATTCAGGCATTGCACACTGAAGGTCAGAGTTAGGAATCTGAGTAACACTTGTTCTTCTGCAAAACCTACAAATAAAAAATCTCAAAGTGTTTTTTTTGTGGGTGTAAGTATTGTTATTTACATGCAAGTATGCAAAAAAAAAAAAAAAAAAAAAAAAACCAAAAAACCCTGCTTCCTATGTACTATTGGATATATGAACATTCCACCAAAGACTCTGACAGTAGGCTCTGGCAGTAGAGTTTTGTTAAAGACTGTTCAGGAATTTCTGTTTAGGGCAGATTTATACCTGATTGTTCTCTGAGGGTTTTGTTTTCATTAGTGCTTAATATTTGAGGCTCGTGACCTTTTCTCTAGTTGCATCTTCTTTTTGCCTTTTTTTAATGTATGCTTAAAATTGCCTCTAGTAAAAATTGGTAAGTATGTTTTATGATTACTTGGGTGGTTTTTTGCTTCTATTATAACCTTTAGTGTTAATGTCATTCAGAAGGACGATTTTAAGTGATGAAGCCCAGCATGTTACCTCCTTTGAACATTATGCTTTAGGCATAATTTTGACTGTATATTTACTTTTTCCCATTAATTCAGAGCTGGAAAAAATTATATTGACTGGTATTTCATGTTTGTTTGCGGACATTTTGCAGGAAGTTCTATGCTGTGTTCCTTTGAGTTTTGGATCACTGTTCTAGCTCTAAAACACTTGATTAACATTTTGTATTTGGTTATTTTATTGACTCGAATGAACCATGTTAAGTTGTTGTTTTCTGTATTGCATCACATTAAAAAGAAAAATTAAAAAAGCTTAGCTGTGAAACATTTCATTCTCTAGGAGATTGTAGTTGCTGTGCCTGCAAGGTGCCATAAAGCTAGTGCATCTACTGATGAAAAGTAATGTGCTTTGCTGTTTTTGAGGTGTGCTTACTAGTCTAATACTTTTTAGGAGACTGAGGTTTTTATGACAACCATAGGGATAATTGTGATATAATGTGTATACTTGCATTTTAGTTTGGTCAAATTTAACTTCGTATTAAGGAAACAATGCTCAAATTACATGTATGGACTCTTATCAGACAGTTAAAACTAATTATATGATTAAGAAGTATAAGCTTGTTAGCAATGAACTCTCCATTCTTTAAGTTTCTTCTTGGATAGTAGTATTGCTTAACAGACTTATTGTGGTGTTATGAATTTGATATAAACATGCTTTTTTTTTTTTTCCTACTAAACTCTGTGTTGGGCATTTAACTCAAAAGAGAAGTTCTCAAAAATTTAGGTGTATAGGGTAGCATATAGTGATAGCAGCTTTATAAAGGAAAGCTATCTCATACTGATAAATGTAACTTTCATTCCTTGGCCAATATATTTTGCTGTTAAGTTGTATAATTGAGAATTAATGTGCTTTACCTTTCCTTTGACTAAAGGAAAGTAAGCTGCAGGTCTGTTTGTTACAGCCTTTTGTGACCTTTTTCATTCATGATCTTGTCACAGTATTCTCACAATAAAGTCAAGTCCCTGCTTTCCTCTCTTTAAGGCTGTTAAAGAAGCGGAATATGGATTTTTAATTTTTTCTTTTAATGGTATGTATTTGAATTAACTTTCTGTTCACCATCAGAAGTGAAAATTGAATTTTGTGTTGCAGTTTCTCAGGTCTTCAGCTCAATTAAGTTGAGAATTCTGTCTTCTCATTTAATCTACTTGGAAAGACCTCACTTCCTTTTTGAGCTGGCAAGCTGATGGCACATAGTATAATTTTCCTAGGATATTTACTGAAATGCAATAGATTTGTTAGATGTCATTTAGATGGCAACTTCTTTCTCCCTATGGCAGTCCTTTATATCTTGGCATATCTGTTTCTCTTGGCTGTTGGTGTATATCAACTTTCAGAATGTTAGCTGGAGATGGAAAGCAAAAGACACTTCTAAAGACGCTTCTACAGAGGAGAAGCAAAAGTTCAGACTTTTGTGAATAGTAGCGTGCTATATAGCAGGAACAGCTTAATCTGATAAAACCCGCTCCTCCCCCCCACCCCGCCAAATTTATAGCTTGAGGGACCAATGCCGTTGTGCAGATTCTGCCTACAGTTTTAACGGAGCTGAAAAAGGGCATAGAGCTTTAGATGCCAATATCAGAACAGAATTCCCAAAAGGAACCTGAGGCAACATA